TCTCCTCAAAATTGCATCCGACACGATGTGGGCCTGTGGCTCCGGTGGTAGGGCGTCCTGTCTACTAGCCAACTGAACCCGACGCCGTATAATTTGTCATCTCAGTTGAAGTATCGCAGTTAGGCTGTCGACGGCAACAACAGCAGCAAACACTTACTAATATAAGATTTATCATCCTAGTCTCTCCGACCTCCCTTCGTTTTCCTAGGATGTAGTCGCCTGCGTGCTTTGCTGTACTTACTCCTTTCTTGTTTTTTCTAACGGCAGAATTGTTTAGTCTCTCGCTGACAAACAAAATGAAAATCCGTGGTCTGCTGGATGTCATCAGCAACGCCTCCGAATTTAACATGCTGCTGCCGGTGCGCCACCATGAGGACAACATCCTGCGGCAGTTGTCTACAAAGGTGCCCCAAAAGTTGGCCGCGAAAGCCAACTTCATCAGTCCAAACGTGAAGGCGAATCTGCTGCTGCAAGCCCACCTCTCACGTATCAGTCTGTCTACGGAGTTGCAGGCGGATACAGATCGTCTGCTTGTCTGCACCATCCGCCTCATTCAGGTGGGTCGACTGAGTTTTCTTGCCGCGCCCTTTCCATCTACTAGGAGTCCTTGCGATTAGCTACCTGCCATTCCGCAAACCACGCACGACTGCGGGGCTGTGGGGAACCACTTAAGAGCGGGGGAGGGGGTGGTTCACTAAAATGGGGAAAGAGACTGCCGGGTCGCCTGTTCGTCATGTCAGGCGGTGTGCCCGGACACATTATCATGCCAACTAGAAGTGTAACTAAATAGACAAGCCGGTGTGAAGGTACACTCATTTAAGTGTTGATTTAGCCTTACCCGCATGCATGTTTAGTTCCAGGCATCCACAAACCATTCGGTGATGGCCTGCCGGCCAACACCGCCTGCAGTGATAAATCTAACGATGATCCCGTGACCATCGCGTGATCCCACGCTCTTGAAGTCACCCTTTCTTGGGGTGTAACATTTGACGAGGACTTGATTTACTACCAAATGAGTACAGGAAAGGACATTGTTGTCTTGGGTGGGTGTGCCCTTAAAACGGTCAATGCGATAGATGTGGTGAACCGACACGTGGCCAGCTCATGGTACGACGGGCCTTATTGGGTGTGCGCAGGCTAACAAATGCTACACTTGGGGATATGTTGACGCGCCCATGTTCACACTCACGTCGCATCAACCACCTGCGCCCGATCTCGCCTTCGGTCTTCGTGACTTTGCCATGACACTGGCTCAGGTGGTTGTGAGGAGGAAAGAGATGTAGTAGATGCATCGCAAGTTCACTCTCACAAGAAACTGATTCACGCGCAAGTCACCGTCCCTGTTCCCATCGTGTTGTGAGGCATATGGTGGATATCAACGGTCGAACTGTCGGGTATGAGGACGACATATCAGACTAGTGCCAGGCTGAAATGCGCACTAACAGTATTGACATAGGGGAGCCATTAGACGCTGTTAGAGTCCCTCGACATACTAGTCTTACATTCGTTCAGTTTAAGGGGTTTCTGTCCATCGTAACTCCCCGATATTCGGGCAGTCAAAGAACCTCCGTCTGTTTCGTCAGCACCACAGATATTGACTTCGACAGACGCTCAAAATAGCCTTGTATGTTTACCGGGACTGCAAAAAGTGAACCCGCCGTTGACCGTTTTGTTCAGGATCAGTCACCCAACTCCCTTTTTGGAAGTAGCCGGAGCAGGTTGTTTGCGCTGGTAGTGTTTTGAACAGTTCTCTTTTACGTGTTTTTGTGAACAGGCCTGCGTGGATGTGCTCTCTAGCAACAGCTGGCTAGGCCCAGCTCTCGCAGCCATGGAGCTGTCGCAGATGGTGACGCAGGCCATCTGGCACAAGGACTCTACGCTGCGCCAGGTTCCACACTTCAGCGCCGAGCTCATTGCCAAGTGCCAGGAGGCCAATCTGGAGTCACCCTTCGACCTCATTGAACTCGAAGATTCCGCAAAGTCTGCCCTACTGGCAGATCTGAGTCAGGCTCAAATGGCTGATGTCATTCACTTCTGCAATCGCTATCCCGACGTGGAGCTCACCTACGATGTCAGTGGGGCTAACGGACCTGTCACTGCCAAGACACAAGTCAAAGCGTGCGTTCGGTTTTCTGTTTCCTTCCTTTTTCTTCGCCGCAACAGCGCCCTCGCTGTCGTTTTGATTATGCTTGTCTCGCTGTCTCACTCTGCCTTCGTTTCTTTTGTAGAGGCGAGAACGTCACTGTGAATGTCAGCATTGAACGTGACGAGGCCAACGTGGGTCCGGTGATCGCTCCCTTCTTCCCGCAGGTCAGTTGTTCTAGACAGACTGACTTTCTGTTAGCCTTGCCACATACCAACATAACGTACAGTGTAAAAATGTTGATAGATACTTTCAATCGTAGAGGGGGGCGCTCACCGATCGTTCTTGCGGAACTCACTCGTTCCGTTGTGTCTTACGGGCTCTCTCTCGAGCCAAACCAGCAGCCGCACAGCGGCGCATGATATAGTCAGTATGTTATTACCGACAAAGACTGTGCGGTTGCTGGTTGGGCTCGAGTGAGAGCCCGTAAGGCACAACGGAACGAGTGAGTTCCGTATGAACGATCGGTGAGCGCCCCCTACCATTGTATGTTCCCGATCGAAAACCGACAGGGCAACGGGCTCGTGGCCAGTGGTTAGAGGCATGGACTTCTAACTAACAGGTCGCGAGTTCGAGCCTCGGGTGTTTCACACTTCGAGGTTGGGTATCGGTCTCCCTTGTCTTTGTCGGTAATAACATACTGCAGATACTTTCAAAACAAAAAGTATTCTTCTCCATCCCTCTCGTATTTTTACACATTTTCAAATCAAAGGCTGTTGATTAGCCTAACTCCCCAGTTGATAATCTTATTCACCCATCTCTTGGTTTGACTGCTTGTTGACAAACCTTCGTCCGCTTTACAGTGCACTGGCCCTCGTAGTTGTGCTGTAAAGCGCTGATTCTTTAAAAAGTTGCATTTTTGGCCATATCACCTGGCCAGACTACAGCGTTCTCAGCACAGAAGTATGCAAACGTGGCCTCCTGTCCCGATTATGCATTTTCGCCTCAACAGACAGCTTAGCAATCCACGATTAAGTCATTGTAACATTGTCTAGCGCCGAAGAGCATCTATTAGCACAAGGCTTCCTATCCCCCTCAAAGTTCCTTTTGATCAAAGAGACTAAAGGTGGACGTGCTGCAGTCAGTAGAGTAGCCGGGCCTGATCTGATCAGGAGCTCATAAACAATTGACCGAGGAATCATTAGATGTGTCATAAAGTAGGCCTTGCTCCAGTGGTGTTCCCGTACTGATAGGCATGACTATTATCTCAAGTTTGATCGTATACCGCAGCATGCTAGTTTTCGAAGGGAACTCCTCAACTGTCTGCATAAGTTTCAATTTGTATTCAGTGCCTCTGTAGACGCTCTTGTTAATTCTTGACAAGACGATTTTTGTATGTGTTTAGTGAGGAATTTGGCCTTTTTTCCTCGAACTGTGCGTAAATTCACGAAAAATCCAGTCAATCTGAAACTATCCAGCGCATGCCTATGTAGTATTGCGGTGTCCTCCGGTTGTGTGGCAATAACAGAACTAAGACGCCCGAATTTCATTGCCGCCATTCATCCCTATTGCGATTTATCCTTTAATTGTCGTGAGCCACAGTCTTTAAAATCCAACGCTATGTAGTTGTTAGATGTTGCCTCGACAAAGTATCGTTGTCGAATCGAACTAGGCGCTTTTACGCTGACTAGACTTTCTACTCTGCACTCCCTCCGTTCTGGCATTTTTTAAGCTGTATCATTTCTTCACTTATTCCAGAAACGGGAGGAGGGATGGTGGGTGGTGATTGGCGAACTGAAGAGCAACAGTCTCTTGGCCATCAAACGCCTGGCTGTTTCAAAGTCCACGAAAGTTCGCCTGGACCTTGTGGCGCCCTCCCAGGCCGGACGCCACGAATTCACCCTCTTCTTCATGTCTGATGCGTACATGGGTTGCGATCAGGAGTACCGCTTCACCCTCGATGTACGCTAGGGAGTCAGGAGAGGGAGCAATTTTTTAGTTGGACTGCTTTATAAATTTTCAATTGTACATCAAATAAACCCTGTATTTTTACAGCCAATATACAGTCTTCAACCACTGGCCCCGCACACAACGCTAGGAGTAACCGACACGTGTGGGCTGCCTTAATCCTGATTAAGAAATGCAAATGCACGTTGTCTTTTTGCCTTGGAGCCCAGGAGTTTGTGGACGATGTAGACGGTCTCAGAGCAATTGGTTATCACTAGATGATAAGTATTCATGCAAAGATAAGGGACATTGAAATGATCCTCTCCGCCGTGTGAGACCTTGTCAGTCATTGGCTAGTGGAGTCCGAGGTGCTGATGCGCCCAAGTTTTTAACCCGCGTCTAGTGCCAGACGTTCTTCACGTCAGGGTACGTCGGCAGGTGTTACCTCCATGTGGTTTTATTTCTTAAATGGTGTCTACCCTACTCGTGCCATCCAGTACGTATTCAAGATCTGGGTGGATCTAAAAAGTTTTATCCCAGGGATTAATCCAAGGGAAGAACGCAGTTAGCTCACAGGGCGCATTTTCCGGATGTCTCGAACTCACTTTCGAGTTCATCATCGAAGAATGAGCATTTGTCTACCTTTGCCGAGTGGATCCGGTCCCGTTGCACGACACTCCCGCCGTCGATTCCGACGATGTCCACACCGTGTGCTCCACAGCGGGGCGAGAGCAGGGACAGTGGCTCTGATCCCAACTGACGCAGCGTAAGCTTGCCACCACACCCCGAATGTTGACACTTTCCGGTCCGCATTCTCGATAACGTCTGTCGGACTCCGATCTGGCCCTCGTGTTGGCCCAACGCATCTGCCGCGCGGCCCGTCTTGGGGTTAATATGCCCTCAATGCGTGCCAATCAAATGCTTTGAAGAAGAAGAAGAAGAAGACACGATCACCGGGACAAGAGCTTTATTAGCCTGACGTTTCGGATTCCTGCTCGAATCCATCATCAGAGACATAAGCAGATAAGGGTGGTTCATGCTTTCCTGAAACGAGGAGGTAACCATTTGCACGGATGGTCTCTGGGGGGGAGGGCGTGAGATCCAGGTCGACATTTATTTCCACTTGAGTTAGCTGACTGATGGCGGCGTCGGAGATTGTGGAGGGACGGTTGAGGGCTCTTCTGAAATGCTCGACCCAGCTCTTCAAAATCTGCAGATTCTCCATCAGAGGCGTTGATCCATCAGAACTGAGAAGCGGCGAGGTTGCTTTTTGGTCGAGGGCGTAGATCACAGTGAAGTAGTTCATTGCGGTCGGAATTTCCCTGGACCTCCTCGGCCCTGCGGGTCATCCGGGCGTCCTGCACTTCTCACAATTTTTGCTGCGCAAGGCGGCGCCATTGGCAAAAGACCGCTTTGTTCGCATCGGTTGGATGACGAGGTAGGCTCTGTGTAGCCTCTTCTTCTCGGCGAGAGGATTGCTGATGACTTCGTCGTGGCGGGGACACCCAGGACGGCCGAATGCGCGATGTCCCGTAGTTGGCACCATCTAATCTGCACGGAGGCGTTTTCATATGCCCCTTGCAGATCTTCTAGGCTCTGGGTCAGTTGATTGCTGAGATGCAAACGGCGAGCCGGCAACAAGAGCAACGCGGTATTCAACTTATCTGGTGGTCGCTTACATTTTGGCCTCTTGCGAGGTTGCTGACGGAGCCTCATTTTGGAGATGACGAGGAGGTGGTCCTGTCGATCGCGCCGCCGGACCAGAACATAGGCCAGCAGCTGCCAGCGCGGCAATCGTGGTGCGCCTGGATTGCCTTCTTCCGCATCGATAAGCGGAAGAGTGTGTGGGTCAGCAGGAGGCGGTGTCCAGCTCAGGTACGTAGGAGACGGAGACTACTGTCGTTGCAGCCGCCGATCCCGCGATGATCCAGCACTCCGCTCTAGGCAGCACAGTCTGCTCCGACGCGGGCAGTAAAGTCATCAACGACAACCAGAATGTCCGTCTTTGGCAGAGACGCCAAGAAGGCGTGCAGGTCCTCGTAGAAGTTGGTCTTCGTCTTGTGTGGGCCGGTCATTGATGGGGCGTAGGCGCTGATGGTGGCGAATTGGGATCCCCGAGGAGGCAGGCGCAGGCCCACCAGTCGGTCGTTGATGACCTGCGACAGACAGGGCAGTAGTCTCAAGATTTCGTTCCGGATGGCAAAGTTGACGCCTGAGTCTCGTCGCCTTGCCTTTGGGCGGCCGGCACCCACCTCCTCCAGTTTCCTTGTTCGGAAAAGTGGGTCTTGCTGAGTGCAGTGGTGTTCATCTTGTAGCGCGCCAGTTCTCGAGTAACTAGCGCCTTCCTCCGTCCCGGTCGGTTGATCCTCGGATTGTCTAAAAGGGGACGAACATTCCAGGCTGTCAGAGTGAGTAAACTTACCCTAGCAACCTGTGAGGTGGGGCGTAGGAGAGGGAGGTAAAAGAGGAATTGTTGTTTCGTTGTTTCGACAACTTGTACTGAAATCTGATAACCACGGTCTGCGCACAGATGTCATGGACCCAACATTCGTTTAGGGCATCCTTTTTCAGCCCCCTCCTCCCCTTCCCCGAGGGGACATGCAGAACTGTCTCTAGATGGGGCTGCTTAGTCGTCACAAATGGCTGCCGAACTCCAGTATGGGTCACTAGGTTTAGTAAGAGAGCTACCTGATTGGCCTGAGCCGCCTACGTTAGTACTTTTCACCCTCGTCGTTGGACTTTTCGAACATGAGGGAAGATATTATAGTAGGGGGGCAGGAATATTTGAGAGCAGAATAAGAGGAAGGGAAGTGCGAGATGGTAAATAGAAGTGGGAGGAGAGTTGAGATGAGGATGGAGGTAGGGAGTAGTCACAGATGGTGCGGAGGGAGGTGAGAATGGGTGAAGGGAATAGGGGTGGGAAGCCGATTTTCCAGGTTTGGGGACACCCACAACGCCGGGTACCCTCAAACTGATTTAGCCCGCCAGTCGAGTCAGTTGCTGGAGTGTGACCTCTAGGCCAGACCTAGCTTCTATGAGCCGCATGTGGGAGTTGGGTATTATTTAATGGACACTAGGCGCAGTCAATACCCGCAAACAAGTGCTTTGATGTGACCCCGACGGGACTTTAATAAAAATTATTATTATATTATTAAGAAAATCACGCGGACCCACAACTGGACACCCCTACACCCCGGGCCACGCGGCAAATGCATTGGAGCAACACAGGGGCTATATCGGAATCCAACAGGCTTTGTCGGAAATGCGCATCAATAACAAATGACCACAGCGAGAGTTTGGTGCCGCGTCCATGTGCCGGTCCATTCCGCGCCAATTGGGGTCCATGTGCTATGAAATCCTTGTCAGTGTGTGCTGAGACCAGGGGTTGTGATAGTACGTCTAGGTGCGGATTTGCATCCTGCCATCCACCTGCTGCCTCCCTCACCTCCGGCCTTCTTTGCTCTGCCTCGACACCGTGATCCAGACGGGGAAGGAGGAGGGAGTACAGTATATCCTTCGCAAGTCTACCATCACTTTAAACTAATTCCCGCTCAAGTCACCGTCCCTGCTTCCATCCTTCTGTTGAGTACACTGTAAACATCGTCGGAATCGACCGTCGAACTGCCGGATTGGACTGCACTCTCTTGTGCGGGACCTCTTCCAACACGTCAACAAACCTATTCAGTCATTCTTTCAAGCTACGTGCGTCCCAAGGAAGATTGAATGTAAGAAGGTATTTTGGTAAGGGTCAAGTATATGTGCATGGTAAGGAAAAACTGGAGAACTGCCTACATTATGTTCAAAAGTAGGTGTTGTTCGGTAGGGTTCTTGGTCGGCCATTCGTCGGCAGGATGACATTTACTGGCCTGTGCCGCCTCGAGGAGTCGGTGCTGCCGAAATTTCTACATTAGTTCATTGTTCAGCAACCCAAACACGTAATTGGCGGGTTAGAAGAAAGTTCGCTTTTAAACAAAAATTCGGCACCGAGAGCAGTCGGGTTGTAAATAACTACTCTAAATATCGTTAGACGAAACGCATACGTCTGCCAGTAAAGCAGGAATGTTAAAGCGCTTGTGAATTTGTTAAACAACAGCTAGTATCTTCCCATCCCGCGCATATATTTATTCCTTGCCGGCATTTTTTCTCACATTATGTGTTGAGGCATGGGAAAAAAGTCTCAACACGAGTCTGAAGTCGAAAACAGTCTTTATGGATCCGCCTCCCTAAAAGAAAGTGGTGACAAATTGTTTCTCGAGCTTTGCCCTCCAACCAGGACAATCTTGATTGTTTGACTGTTGGCCCTGCACCCACATGGTGTATAGCGGCCGAAGACGTTGGGGGCAGAAGGCACAGGGTAACGTGACGCACTTGGGATAATTCCTGGCTTAGAATGAACTGAACAGGGTTGTTAAACATGTCATCATTCTCATTCAAGCAAGGAAAAATTAAAGCTGAATGGTGCTATAAATATGCCAGAAAAGGGGCGTTAAGCACATCAGAAAATGATAAATGATACACAGATAAACGGAAGTACAGCAAAAGGGATGATCCCTCCGAGTGGGGAGATGACCCCAACATGCTTCCTAAACGGCCGGTGGGGCATGCAGCGCTAGGAGGAACTGCAGGGTAGGGCCGTGGAAGATTCGGCATAGAACGTGAAGGGGAGAATGGTTATGATGAGAGTTACGAGGGAGGAATCTTTGGTTATACGGGGCAGGTCACCGGCTATTTCCACTGACATGCGGTTACACCGTCACCACCCTGGACTCTCGCCAAAAGCGTGTTTACCTCACCTAAACAACCCAATCCAATCCGGGGAGCGTTACAGGTGTGCTCGGCGATCGGCTGCGCGCCTGCTGATTGGCTGACCGATCGGATAGTATGCTTGTTTTTGCGCGTGCATTGTTGTACGCCGTTTCCTGCTCTGTCTCGTCGTTGCGAGCATTGATCTCTTCCTTAACGTGGCTCATTCTGCTGTCCCTTATTATTAACTGTTTTGTCCCCTTTTTCGTAGCATTTCCAAGTCGATATCAAATTAGTCAAACCAGCGGCGTGTTTACAATGCCGTTGGAATAATTCTCACGCGTTCTACAAAATACTTTCGATTCGGAATTAAATTTTCGCGCTGTCAGTCGTTCAGTTTAATCAGTCGCCAGTTAATCCATCACATGTTTCTTCTACTTTGTAATTCGGAATACGGCTGAGTCCATTCCCAATCAAATTAAAGAGCCCGTCCTTACCTTGCGGTCCTCCTGGAACTTAGGGGTAGACCACACATGCTCTACCTGTTCTGCCGAGGACTCACTTAAGGCTAGTGACTGTCCATGTCCTTAACTGGTTGCTAAATCCATTGATATTGTTCCTTTCGGCGATGATCTTCGCGGCCTTTGACGCTCTAACCTTTAAATGACCCTATTCGGACCACTGACAACCACAGAGAGTTCCCCTGTTTCTCCATCTAGACGGTCGTTGTTGTAGTCAGACAAGAAATATTATGATCTCAATTACCGGGATTTAGGAGCGTAGGTGGCCTTTTCCGGCCACTAACCCCCTTTGACGAGGGATGTTTCGAACCCCCATGGACTCTCAACAGCCAGCAGTTCTGTTCCAAACACATATTTCCTCCCCTCCCCTCCCCCCCCCCCATTGACGACCGTTTTCTTCCTAAAAACTCTCTTATCACATTCATTTTACGCCTTTTAATTATTATTCAAAGACCTTTGTATTGTTTGTTCATCCTCCTCTCTTACTGTCTTCTCATAATTTTGACGTCTTCAGCATGCGAGCGTGCAATTCACCAGTCGTCATTATTATAAAGGCAAATTGGATATTGGGCATGACTGCTTATTCGGGTGAGATTTATTTGTGAACACTTTTTATGTGAATTTAGACAGGACTCCACGATGGTGCTCAACAAAACAATTATTATTTAAATGGTTAGTTATGAATTCGGTGATTGGATGTTACCTAGTCGTGGACTGAGCTTTTTAATGTGTCAGCTGACTGGAACACCCAAGTACATGCCTCGTTCCTGTGTCTCGCTTACTCCGGGAGGTGGGACCGAAGCTGACATGAGGAAAGTGTCGGAGGTGGAGCACCAGGGGCTGGTTTTTTGGGAACCAACGAAATTGTCGTTCGTAGCAGGTCACAAACCCCTTAAATGTGATGGTCGACAGCGGTAATTTTCGAAAGTTAAAAGTCAGAGAGGTAGAATTGGCGCGACAATCTTTACTGCAGCTAAAAGACTACAAGCGGCCCAGAAGCCCATGACAAAAACTGTTCTTGCGGCCCTTGTGCGAAGTGCGCGTGTGGGCCACATATTTTTCTGCCTGCAGCGAACGTTGAGAAGAAAAAGCATATCGGTGTCGTCGTGTCGGTAAGGCAGAGGCTGTCACACAGAGCAAGGAGTCGCCAGATGGAGGAGATCCTGTCGGTGTCACACGCCGGGAAGTCCGGCATAATTTGCCCGATTTGTGCCGGGGCCCTATCTTCCTGGACAGTTTTAACTGTGATTAATTCCCGCTCGATGGTAAATTCTACGCTCATGGATAGCCGTAGGAAAAAGAAATCAACAGGAAACGCACATTTTGTGGAAAACTTGGAAGAGTTCACCGATTTTAGACGCAGAGCGGCAAAACGAGAGACGTGGTAGTGAACATATATCTTGAATTCGAACAAAAATTTTCACGAAGACAATCGCCGAATACAGAACCCTTCTACAATCGTATGCGAAGAAGCGGAAAGACTTCGGATATAACAAAATGCAGTGAAACTACGAAGGGATTCGAAACCGCTGGTAAGATAAAAAACGGCAAGTATTTGACAGTCTTAGTAATCCGTCTATACGAATGAACCTTGAGATTTTCTCCGCGATACCACTCCAGACTGAAGTAATATCCGAACTTTAGGGGACACGATTGGAAGAGAATTAGTATTCCGGTCAAAACAAGATTTCACCTAGGCTCCTCTAAAAATTCACCATTGAAGTTTCTATATTGTTGTCGATATTTTTCCACTGTTCATCTCACACTGACATCCCTCCTTTCGATTCGAAAATTCGCATATTATTGCGCTCTATAATAACGGTAGCCGCGCGTCAACGATGAATATAGGGTCCGTAAGCTTGGAGTACATCGTTCTCGAAATCACGGAGAAGAAGAGAAAGATCAGGTTTATGTGATTTTTAAAGATACAACTGGGATACAACGCCGTCTTGTTTGCCGACGACGTTAAGCTGTGGAGAGTCATAGATCTGATGCAGACATGTACGCGCTTCAAGAGAGTCTCAACCGGCTGAGCAGTTGATCAGCCCGTTGGCTTCCCAAATTTAATGTGGGCAAATGTGTGGTCCCGAGATTCTGTACCAGAAGAATCAGTAAACAGGACGATTCCTTTCAGTACCTCCTTTACGGGCAGTCTCTTTAAAATGTTAAGGAACAGAAAGACCTCGGTGTTCTAATGGCCTCCTCTCTTAAACCATCGTCACGGTATCAGTAGGCAGCCAATTGCGCGATACGAGTGTTATCTGCATTGGGACAGTGGGTTGTGCAGATCCATAAGAAGCTGTTTAGCAAAACCTACGGTGCATTCGTTCGGTCTCACTTAGCGTATGCAATCCAGGTCTAGAGACCGTTGTTCAAGAGGGATTAATTACAGCTGTAAGGAGTCCAGTCGACGGCTACGGAGATGGCCAAGAATCTTAATCCTCTGCCTTACAAAAGCAGACTGTCTGAAGTCTATTTGTTTCCTCTCCTTTTGCAGGCAACTGCGCGGCGATTTCATATAAACCCACCGGATTGTCAGACGCCGTAAATATGCTCCAGATTTTGACGAATTCCTTGAATTGGCTGGGATGGACTGTCTGTATGGTTGTCCCTTTAAACTGTAGAAGAATCTGGACCATACGGACGTCCGACGGAACGCCTTTTCGCAGTGGGCCATTGGGGCATGGAACGGACGCCCTGATGCGATGGTTCTTTCCAAAACAGCTGAATCGTTTAAGTGCAGGCCAGACGCTCGTTTTCTGAGAAACTACTGTACATATAATCACGATTGTGTTAGTGACGGCAGTTTGCGCCCGGCTCACACTTACCGTTAACTTTTGAATTTTCTGATTTACTTATGTGACAACTGATTGTGTTGCTGTTTTAGATATTAATAGGGATCTCGGAAGCGAAACCCTCATTCCCTTTGTAGAATTCTTGACAAATTGAGTCACGCGTATAAGCCAAGGCAGATTTCAATGTATATACGGTACAATTGATAGAATAAGCTAATAATTGAAAAGCATACAAACCCCAACAATGGATACCCTAGACAAAGAATTCCTTTTTAACTGTTCGAACAAATCTGAGTCTCAACTCAAGGGAAGAATACAATAACTGATAAATTAAAAGGACGCCGATCATGCTCAAAAGAGGGTTACGAAAAAGGGGAAGGGAAATGTCAACAGGGCCAAATATGGAAGCACTTGCGAGGAGGAAGTGGAAAATTCCAAGCATTTACCAGCTGGATACAACACCCTTAATACACTGACTTTGTTACTGAGTGGCCAACAGGTTCGGGAATGAACGCACTGCACAAGAACCTGGACACAGTAATCCAAAATCTCAACCGGACTTCCCGATAATAAATTTTGCCTCCGTATCTTCACCAAAAAGATCAAAGGATTTTAGATTCTGTTCACATAAGCAGATATTATGCGCTGTCAAAATAATGGGGGTCAGGACGACCTTCCTTAAATGAATCGGCTCTCTGAGCTAAGATCACATGTAGTAAGAATTACTCACACTCGACTTCATGTTGCCTACATCGACCATATCAAGTGGACTCCGGCAATGGTCGAGAGTGCAGTTCCAAAGCGGTAGTACTAAGAAACGGAGCTGGAACGCATAACAAACGAAGGCCGCACTATCAAAGGTCGCGAACGACTAAAAAGCCTCGGTAAGCCTGGAACCATGCGTTGGCAGTACTTTGCAGGTCTCCATGAATCAGAAGCTGGTGGCACCAGGAAGAGTCATCAGGTAATCTCTGCATATAAGAACAAACCACAAGGCCCTCGAGTGCATCCAAGCAAATGCATCCTCATTAAAGGTATGTCTGGGTCTGATTTTGACGCCCGAAGGACATGACACACTATATCATACCCATTTTAAAGGAGGACAAGAACATCACCGTCCTAGAGGCCTTCAGTATGGTCCACATAAAACATTCAAAATACGGGTCAAACTAACCAAGGCTGCTAAAAACTGCCCTCTAGAATGAGGAACAAGAGTAGCTACTGCTACGTGGAAAATCCGCGCCCGAAAGGCCCATTCAACAATTTTCGTTCAGTGGGATTCTTCACCAGGGAAGGGGGGCGGGAAAAATAGACAGAACTTAAAGCGAAACCCCAGAGGAGGTCCATTCTGAGCAAGAGCAATCTCGAAATACTAAATGAAGAAATTGCACGTAGTTGTTGTGAAATTTAATTTCGTTTTGTTTTACTCCGTTACAATACGCTTGTTAAAGAACTTGACACAACTTTGGATGAGACATAGAACAGGCGCATGCATTTTTACCTGCAAACGACTTCGTTCTTATTTACTCGTTCGCAACTGTTGGGATACTGCTATCTTCGTTTCCTGGATAGCCTACTCACTGCGTCCAACTAATAGGTTTATCACCAACATAGGCATAAGTCACTTCTCTGGAGAAAACTATAACCTTCACAGCTTAGGCGTGATGACCGGCATTCCCTCTCTATCTGCACCGGCAGACATTTGTATTAAATCCTACAAAATGAGTAGGTATTAGTGTACCGGAACTAGTTGGACCGAACTGACCTTTGCATGTACCAGTGCGCAAAGTCTTGTTCGAAAATCGACAACTTCAGTGTGCTATTTTCAGAAAGACATCCTGATACCATTGCCATAACCGACACGTGGTTCAAAACCGGTATCTGGAATTCTGAGTTTTTGATACAAGAATACTAACTAATTCGCCCAGACTGTCAGAATAGGCGGACTGCTGAGTTAGTTGTATGTGTGAGATCCTGGGTCCTGGTATTTGAGTAGGCGCATAATCCACATCTAGAATATAAAGCGCATTGGATAAAGATAAAGAAATGTGATTCGTAAGAGCTAGGCAGATTATAGGCCACTAGACCGGCCGGGAGAACTCACGAGTCACTTCTCCGATTGGTTAAGGAGCTGGCTAGCCATCAATAGATTACCATTGGCACAGACGTTAAAGTATCCGCAATAAACTGGTGTAATTTGGTGGTTAGTGGCATGTCTAGTTCTTCCAGCTACAAGCTAACGTATATCATACTCGGTCTCCCTCCTGCACAGAATGTAGGGGAACCAATGAAACCTTTAGGGAACCAGGGGATAAGTTGTTTAAATCTATTATTTACTAAAGACTTCTCTAACACTGACGAAGTGTATTTCAACGCGACTCTCGGGAAGAGTGACTATAGTACGCTCCTTTGGGATTACCAATTCTATTCTCAGCATAAACAGGGAACAGAAGGAATGACAAATTTATGGCACCCTGAATTCAAAATGATAAGGGAGGACCTAATGTTCTTGAAGCTGGACTATTTGTTCATGGGGGATCTGGCGGAAGGCTACAGATAGTTTAAAACGATTTCGGTGGGTCTAATTCGGTGCTGCTGTTTGGTGAAGATGACAAGACGACTTCTCGTCTGGTATGTTTAACAAGAGATTTTGTCAGAGAGTTAAAGAAAGACGGTCCACAGTGACACCTTGAGGAAATTTCATCGTCAATAAGATTCTGTCAAAACACTACCAGTCCAGAATTGTTTGCCAGGTTAGAGAAAAGCCTAGATTTTATTACATTATACTCATACTCACATAAAAAACAAGGACCCAGTGGCAATACTTAGGGATAAAAATGACATAGAATTCACTGAAAATAGCGAGAAATCGGAACTCTCGGGCCTATTCTTTCCTTCAGTACTAAGCATTAAGGAAACTAAATTTCACTTTCAAAATATCAGCAGTCCTGTTGTAAACGCCGGTGGAGTGCTTATAGTTATATCCTTTCCAGTAACTGTCATGAAATTACAGCAGTATAGCCCAAATGAATTTAAGATATCAGGTACGGATAATATACCGACGAAGTTCCTAAACGAATTGGCAAGCGAACTCTCCCGTCCACTGGCGCATATCTTCCATTTGTAATTTAATTTGGGCAGGCTGCCATCTTAAGTCAGTTTATTAAGGGAATGAGGCTTTCGTCCCTGAGTGGAAAACCTCAGGTATCTTCCTGATATATAAAGGTGGAACTAAAACCAATGTCAAGAATTATCGTCCCGTCAGTCTAACATGTTTCTGTCGAAAAGTAATGAAAATCATGTTTAAGTATGGTTAAGAAGTCAATAATGAAGTCCTTAAAGGCGAACCACTTATACTTAAACGCCGTACCAGAAGGATCAGCCAGGAAAGTCCTTCTCTCCGCCGTCCTCTCGACGACTTTTCCTTTCATTTGCTAATTAGCAGAACAACTTAGACATTTCAAGGACCTCCTCACCTAAACTCTCATCAGAGTATTTAAAAGCATCCAAACAAGCGGCATAGGTGCTATTCGATCTGAGACGAACATTCATCGAAATTGATGGGAAACTGTTTGGAAAAAACCTACGAGGCGTTCGGTCTCACGTGGCATATGCCGCGTGGGCCTAGCGCCTGGAGATCAATAAGGATGGTCAACTATTGGAACGAGTGTTGGCGAATACTATAGGGATGATGGAGAATCTTGGCGTTCTGTCATGTGGGGCCAGACTGACCGTAAAAAATTTGCTTCCTTTGAGTTACGGGCAACTGCACGAGGATTTTATATGGACCTTTCGGATTGTTAGAAGCCGTACATGTGTTCTACAGTCCGAGGACTTCTTTGAATCAGCTGGTAAATCCCGTTAAGAAACAGAAGAACTTGGCCCATATTGACGTCCGTCGGCACACATTCTCAGATAATCGTTGGAGCCTATAACGGACTGCCTGCTACGGCGGTGTTTTCCGACCATGTCAGGATAGTTATTTTTGTGACTATCAAGTTTACACTTTCTGAGCAATTGATCAGAAAATACTTCGCATCAAATAAAGATAGTGGCGGTGGCAACGGTTTGCGCCTGGCTCACAAATACCAAGGTCTTTATACTTCCCGAAGCAATTACAATGAAAAATTATTCTGCCGCTTTTTCGGATATGAACAGGAATTCAAAGGATGAAAGTCTTAATCCCAAAATAAAATGACTTCGAGTGACCTAAATAGTCAAGTATTAGGGTCAATTTTTCCCTGTTTACAAAAGCGGCTGTACTTGACACTCGGACCCCGAGACACCAGTATTTAGGCCCGATACGAAGAAAATATGCCCAATTATGACAGTTTCGAGTGGATAAGCAACAAATGGAATGGTTAAATTTCTTAGTGACCCTTAACAGCAACACCACACTGCCATCGAGTTGTTTCCTTGTTTATCTGCACTCGACTGCCGGTCTGGTCGGTGGCACGCCTCATGTGCGTCAGTTGCGTGGAGCTCTGTTCCGGGCGTGGTCGATCTCCTTGGGTGTCTTGCCGGCGGCTTGCGATCGTCCTTTTACCCACGTTGGCATGCATGCGATCTACTCCTGGAAGCCCCGGGTCTGTTGTATTCCGTGGAGGCCGCAGGTATGTGCCGTGATGATCGGAATAATTACGAATCCGTGACTTACTCTCGTTCGACTGAGTCCTTACTGCTCTTAGCATGCTTTCTTTCCCTTTCAGACTGTGCCGTGTACAGTTGGTGGTCCGACGCAGGCATTCGCTTGGCGGTAATGCCAGTGTATCTTAGGACGTCGTGCGCAATGCATTCGGTGTTTTTCACGGAGGTTGATGGTGTGTGGCTTCAGTATCCGGACGCTCGGAAAATCCTGACGACTTGGGCTCGAAGAGGTCCGCACAAGGGCCTGTTGGATAGCAATCCAGGCCAGAGCCACGACCGAGATCACTTCCGTGAGTTCTGATCTGATGATAACATAATTGCATGACGGTTGTGTGATTGCACATCGCCCCTATCTGAATTCGGCCTAGAGTAATCATCCCTCTTTCACGTCTAGGTCGCCGACCTGAAGTCCAAGGCACCTTTCGACAGTCTCTACAGGTGAGCTTATGATGATACTGTCCAGTTCTGCTATTGAGCTGTATGATAACTCTTTCCAGCCTGAAATTTCCCATGCTCAACAGTTCTTCCAAAATGACTTTTCAGACGAGATGTCTGTCGGTGACCTCGCCCTGAGCGTTGACTCGATATCGCCCTTACTGGAATCGGGTAGACTGGTTGAGGTGCGTAAGTGATGCTTGCATAGTTCACATGACTACTTGATTACGATATCTTACTGACAACGCCTGTAAAACACACCTAAGACTCTTTGCTCTTTTTTTTGTAGCCATCTGATGTAGCAGGAGGTAAGTGCCTTTATGATGCGTCCTACACCTCTTGAATGATTTGTGACTTCCAGCATATTTCTGAATCAAAGTTACCAACGCTCTGTGTTTTCTTTTAGGCTTTCCGGTTAGTCGAGGGACGGGACGCCATGTTCTCCTGTGTCAGTCACATTATCAATAAAAACGCATTTCCCCGCTTCTGCTTTATACATATTAAGAGGCTGACGGTTTGCGGGTAGAATTACTACAATGGTTATCCGCATAATTGCTGCGCATGCGCCCGTACAAGTCAGTTTTCATTTGGGCCGTCGGCGGTCCTACCCAGGAGTACGCGCCCGGGTGGTCTGTCACCCGGTCCGGGCAGTCCTAGGAGAATTGGGGGTTCGAGGTCAGGTTGTGGGTCGCGTGTCATACACGCGAGTAAGTGCCTCTGCCAGATAATCCGGTGCCGCATGCGGGGTGCACAATGACGCGCATGGCGTAGTCTACAAGAGCCGCACGCCTGGGTAGCAGCGCTCAGCGGGCTTAAGGCTGATCAGGTCGCCGTCGTGCTTAAGTTCTCCCCATGGCCGGCAAACTGTCCCCGAGTGCGCCCGTTTTCAGCTTCATTGAAGGTGGGTGCGTTCCTACTCGACTAGAAATCTCCATTTTAGTTTGCAGGGTACGAACTCGTTCGGACAGTAGGGGATCGGGAACTACCCAAATCCGGATATCGTGTCTCCTGACTCATAGGTGGCTGGCAAGCCATTCCAAACAAGTCGGGGGTCAACATCGCTTCACTCTCGTCTATGAAGCTTCTTGGGTATGGGGTCTTTCCTGCCGAACCGACGCGAGTGTGTACAAGAAGAGGGTAGTCTGACGGGCTCGGGAAGATGAGAAAAGGTGGTCGCGGCCTCCAGGCGTTGGCAGCCGAACGTACCCCAGGCATTGATGGTCCGGAGCCGTGAGGGATCCAGCATGAACCCGTGCCACCAAGCCATGGGTCTTTAAGAGGACGAGGCGACCGTGGGCGCTCATCATGACTGACAACTGTTAATCTCGAGAGGTGCATTCCTCCGGTTATGGGTGCAGCTTGAGAACACCGGTATCCCCAGTGTTTATGGATAGACCGACGCATACTGCGGGTTCATTCACTCGTGCCACCATAGACTGCAGATCATCCAAACCTAGTTAAGCGATATCATTAGCGTAGCCGAGGTCGGTTAGCCGGCGACCAGGTACTTGTACTTGATACGGCTGGGATCATGTCTGATCTAGCCGGCCTCGATGATGTCACGAACAGTGCCTCTCCACGCGTGACGATCCACGGCAGCAGATCTGAACAGCTCAACCCATTTCCTTCGCCAACGACGTAGACCGAATACTGAAGGTCCAAGGACCACCTCCATGTCTTGATGAACTGTCGCACCAAGGTTTAACTGACCCCCTCTTAGACGCCTCCAATGGGGCAATGGTGCCGAATCAAGGGCAGTAACACAGCTCCTGAGGTGGACTACGAAGAACATGCCCGAACCACCTCAGTCGTCTTTCTTGGATGGCCCGAGTTACCCTTGAGATGTTGCAGCGAGCGCGGACTGTCACATTTGAGACGAAGTCGGTGAACTTCACTCGAAGGATGGTCCTCAAGCAGTGGTGGTCAAATACCTCCAGTTTTCGCTCATCCTCCACGCGCAAAGCCCAGCATTCACAAGCGTAGAGAAGGACAGACCGGACAGATGCACGGTACGCGCGAATCTTAGTGGCGATGGAGAGGTCATATCGGATCCATAGGCATTTCCGAAGGCTTGAGAAAACCTAGTGGGCAGCATCGATTCGGGAGACGATGTCGTCCTTACTCTGTCCATTAGGCAGCGGCCTCGCGCCGAGGTATTAAAAACTGTCTACTTCTTCAAGCTGACAGCCATCAATCCCGAGGGATGCCTTCTCCTGGTCAGGGATGCAGCTTGAAAACACTTTAGTCTTCCTAGCGTTTATGGATAAACCGACCGATTCAGCGACCTCGTTCACCCGTGACACCATAGACTGCAGATCACTAAAGCTTGAAGCATGTAAGGCGATATTATCGGCATAATTGAGATCAGTCAGTCGGTGTCCGGGTGCAAACTCAAAGCCGTCTTGCGTAGGGTCCTCCCGAGGATCCAGTCAATAGCATAGTTGGGCAGAATGGGTGAAAGGATACAACCCTGTCGGACGCCAGACCGAATACCGAACGGTTGGGAAATATTTTTGCGGACCAGGACCCTCGCAGTGGTGGAGCGGTAGTAGGCCTTGATCATGGCGATGATTTTTGCCGATACACCATCTATCGCCATTATCCGCCACAGGGACTCACGGTGAACGGAATCGAACGCGGCGGCAAAGTCAACAAAGCATACGGCCGTCGGTTGTTGGTAGCTACGACGAAATTCGAGAATGCGCCTCATTGTAAATATCTGGTCTGCGCATCCACGTCCAGCACGAAATCCGGATTGGTTGGGCCTCGTCCTTGATTCACACACAGCCTGGAATCGCCTGAGTAGGACAATAACGAAGATCTTCGAAGCAACGTCGATGGGACTTATGCCGCGGTAGTCCTCGCATCTCGTCTTATCTGCCTTCTTGAGGATATGTACAAGGATGCCTAAGCCCCAGTCATCAGGAACAACCTCGTCTCCCCACGCTCATTCAATCACCTCATGGAGCCAGTGAACTAGAGTGTCGACACAAGACTTATTGTGCGTTATTGTTGCGCAACTTTCGTATGGCATCGGCGACTTCTCCTTCAGAAGGGGGGTCGCGTGGCACTGCATAAGTAGGAGAGGGAAGAAACTCCGCTGAAGAGGAGAGCAAGGGCGAGGTAGGTTGGGTATCGAAGTTGAGATGGTGCTCAAAGTGCTCACGCCAGCACTCGATTTTGGCCGAGTTGTCAACAATAAAGCCGCCGTTCACGTCGCGAACAGAGTCACTCAGTGTAGAGGGCTTACCGCTAACTTGGCGGATCAGTTGGTAGAGTCTTCGAGTGTCACCAACGTTCGAGGCCTGCTCCATGGAGGTCGTTATTTCAGCTCCTCGTTAAGGGACCTGGTTCGAGCCGTCTGAGCAGAAAACTGCAGGGTTCTTTCACTGATCCAGTCACTACGGCGTCGCTGGGTGTATCGAAGGATTTTCTCAGCTGCCCCATAGACTGATGTCTTCAGTGACGAGCACTGGTTACTGACTTCTCCGTCGGCTCGTAAAACAGGTCCGGATTTTTCTGCTTAGTGCCCCGGCAGTGCTGGTTTGCCGGATTTTTTGCGACATCGAGGCGACTAGGACGTGACATTTTTGGCGCGGATGAGAGATGAACTTTCAAGCGTGGGCGAACGAGGATATGGTCCGACCCATGGGTGCTACCAGTCTCGGCACCACGCATCGATCTGCTATCGTGAACCCAGCTGCGGAATCTTGAGCTGACTAGTATGTAGTCGATCTGACTGGCCGTATGGCCGACGTTTGAATACCAGGTCAGCAGATGTTTTTTGCGATTCTGGAAACATGTGTTGGTGACAAGCAGTCGGTTTCGATCAGCGAAGTTCAGCCATCTCTCACCATTTTCACATCGGGAACCAAGTCCAAAGCGGCCAAGAAGATGACTGGTTGTGGGGACGCCAGGTCCAGTTCGACCATTCCAATCGCCATCAATAATCAGCAGATCGCGGCAAGGCAGTCTTTCAACAAACGCTTGCAACTGCGAGTAAAAAGCCTCTTTATCGCGCTGTTCGACAGCCGAAGTTGGTGCGTCCACAGAGAGGACTGAGATGTTCGTTAAGTGACCCTTCAGTCGCACATAGGTCATCCGGTCATTGACTGGTTCCCAAGCAAGTAGCGCGAGGTCCACATGTTGCGATAGGGCGCTCGCCACACCGTGTCGACTAGAAGATTCGCACGGGCCGCTGTGGTACAGGGTAAAGAGTGATTCGACTCCAGGGATCTTTATTTTGCGGGAGCCTGAGTCAGGGAGTCGAACTTCAGACAGACAGCAGACATCCACGTTGTACTGATCAAGGCTGAGCGCGGTCAGACTCTGGGTACCGCGGTCCAGGAACGTTCGCACATTCCAGCATCCAATACCGAGGGTCCGTCCCCGATTGAGTAGTCCAGCTCGCATACTGTTCGCTCGCACCACTGGACCAGGGTTGCGGAGCGCGTCGGTTCCCGCGGACGCTGTATCATGAGTCGTAATACTGTGAGAGAACATATTTCATGAAGTTTCTTGGGAATTTCGGATACGGGCGGGTCCTCAACAGCCGCTTGGATTGTTTGTTCGAGGTTGTATCCGCTAGCGCTTTGGCTTAAAAGCCTATCCACAAGGCAGTGGCGGAAAGCAAACTTATTTAATGGCAGTTTACGGTCGCCATGTCACAATGCCGTTATTAGGTTTTGCGGCTTTTTATAAGGCTTTCAGCGTGCCAGACCTCAGGCCACAACACCCTAGTAGCAATGTCGCTGCTCGTCCGCGACGGCTTATTTGTCAGACCTGGGTCTGCTTATTTCGCAGCTAACCTTCACTGAAGATCGTTCCACTATCCGCCACCTCTGGACGCGCCGGGTAGCCGGCAGCTAGGCTAACGGGCAACCCGTCTTCCCGGGCGATTTTTTTGGCCGGCATATCATGTGGTTCCACCATTCACCACAGGAACTCACGATTAACGACAACGAAACCCAGCGTCGAAGTCACCGAAGCAGATGGCTGTCTGCTGTTGGCAACAATGGCAAAATTCGATAATGAGCCGCAGTGTGAGTATCTGGTTAGCACATCTACGCCCAACTCGGAATCCGGCCTGGTTAGGTCTCGTTCTAGAGTCACGTACAGCCTAGAATTGCCTGAGGACGACGAGGAGAACCTCATCAGCAAAGTCGATAAGACTATGGCGCGGCAGTTCTCGTATCTTTTCTTACCACCTTCCTTGAGGAATGAGACAAGGATGCCTGAGCCCCAGTCATTCGGAACAACCTCATCTTCACGCTTGTTCAATCGCCTAATGGAGCCAGGGCGCCAGAATTTCGATAAAATACCGGTAGATTTCGGTGGGAATACCGTCCTAGCCAAGCATCATGTTGTTGCGCAGCCTCTGTACTGCATCAATGACTGCTTCAAAAGGGGGTCGCATGACACTGCGTAAGTTGGAGAGGGATAAAACTACGCTACAGAGGAGAGGGAGGATGTGATGGGTTACTCATGAAAGTTGAGAGGGTACTCGAAGTGCTTACGCCAGCAATTGATCTTGAGCAACACCCAGTTCCCGTTTGCATCACTAAAAGAGACGGTCAAAGTCAAGGGCTTACCACCAGTTTGACGGAAAATTTGGCGCAGTTTGCGCGTACTACCAACGTTTGAGCCCTGCTCTATGAGGTCACAGATTCCGCCAAATATTACTGCCGGTCACCCCTACTCGATTTGTCCATCATCTTCCCGAGTTGTCGGAATGAATCATCATTACGGGACCTGGCTCGAGCAGTTTGAGAAGATAACTGCCAAATTATTCTGCTGATCCAGCCCCTGCGGCATCGCTGGGTGTATCTGAGAATTTTCTCAGCTGGCTCATAGACTGATGATTTTAATGGATGACCACTGGCTACTGTCTTCTCCGTCGGCTCGGGTCATAAAGCAGGACCGAATTTCTCTGTTCAGGACCCAGGCAGTGCTGGTTTGTCGTATTTATCGACATCAGTGTGTCTTTCACGCGGCGTTTCGGGTGCAGATGGGAGGTGAACTTTCAAGCGTGTGCGAACGAGAACATGGTCTGACCAATAGGCGTAACCAGTTTCGGCACCACGCATCGATCTACTTTTGTGAGCCGAGACGCGGAACCTTTCGCTGACTAAAATGTGATCGGTTCGACTGGCCACATGACCGTCGTTTGAGTACCAGGTCGGGAGATATTTGTGATGATGACGATAAGATGACCGTTGGAAGAGTCCCCAGATCCAGTTCAACCATTCCAGTTCCCGGCAACAATCAGCAGATCACAGCATGGAGTCTTTCAGATAAAACTTTTAGCTGCGAGTAAAACGCCTCTTTATTGTGCTGTTCAGCAGCTGAAGTTGGTGCGTACACAGAGACGATACAGCCGTTTGTGAAGTGGTCCTCCAGTCCCACGTAGGTCATTCGGTTATTGGCTGGTTCCCAGGCAAGTGAAGCACGGTTCCCTTGTTGTGAGAGGGCGATTCCCACACCCTGTCTACCAGAAGAGTCGCGTGGGCCACTGCGGTACAGGGCGAAATGCGAGTTTACTCCCATGATATTTATTTCCCGAGCACCAGAGAATAGAATTCGGACCTCGGGCAAACCGAGAACATCTACATTGTGCTAATAAAGACTAAGCGTCGTCAGAATTCAGGTACCGAGGGTCCAGAAACGTTCGCACATTCCAGTACCCAATACGCAAAGTCTGGTCCCGATTGGGTAGTTCACCTCGCATACTATTCGCCCGAATCACTGGATCAGGGCTGCGGAGCGCATCGGTTCCTGCGGGAATTATAAGTAGAGGCGGGACCCTAACGGCCATCCCGTTTATTTGTTCGAGGTTGTCTGTTTTAGCTATTTGGTTCAAGTACCTAACCATAATGCAGCTGTGGCAAGCAAACTTATTTAGTGGCGGTTCACGCATTTTCTAAGGCTGTTGGCGTGCTAGACCCCAGTCATCCGAAAACTGGTGGCACTGTCATTGATGGTCCGTGACTGCTTATTCGCTAGACCTGGAAGTCCGCTTATTTCGCAGATAACCTCCGCTGAAGGCCGTTCCACTACCCGCCACTTTTGGAGGTACCGCCTATCCAGCAGCTAGGCCAACGGGTAACTCATCTTTCCGTAGCATGTATGAATGACTTCCGTTCCCCATGGTAATTATAGTTTCCGCATACATGGACTCCCACGAGCAGTCCTATGGAAACTTTGGTGGGGCACGAGATTAAGTATTCCCGTATTACAAGTGAAGGGGGTTGGGGTTGATATTCGAACTAGGGAACGAGAATAAGCATCCCCCTATCTGGAATTTAGCGCAAAGTCACCTGAAGTGCAAGTGGACACTTATTTCTGCATCCAAACGAAACTTTCTCCTAATTTCCTCGTCTACGGCACGCGAAGAGCACGTCCTCCCTGACCCCGCGGTCAGATATCGTAAAAAGGACAGTTTCTAACTGAAAGTCTGCATACTGCGCTGTTCGTATTGCTATAAAACAACTCCGACTAACCGTCCGAAATCAAAAGGATAAGGTAGACACGGCTGCGATGCTGGCAAGTATGGAGCACAGACCTACAGCGGCTGATTTTCTGGTAGAGATTCCCGTGGCAACATGTGCCATTGTAGCTCCTTGAACAAACTGCTTCTTGATTGATATGCATATTTGTTCTGTTTTTATCCCGTTAACGACTGAAAAAGGTGTCCATTCTTTGTGGTCATTTTCCAGTTGTCATGACGCAGTACTGGTGCTGCATGACGATAGGATTGGGAAAAGGGTGGGCCAAGGCTTCGTAAGTCTGCCTCATTATAATTCAGTTTACATGCAGGCCATTTTTGTCTGTCACCCACCTCCAACACAAGCCTCCCTCATCCTAACAACCAAAGTCTAGCGGTGAGGACGGCGTGCAATTTCGTGGGTGGCCGAGGCCACTTTGCTTTGTCCTCTCACTGAACCGAAGGTGTTAGCTTGTGTTGGAATCGCGTAGTCGCTCGGCTGTTTTAGAAGTACCCAATTTGGGGAGTGCTGCACACCCGATCATTGGAAAAAAGAACTCTAAATTAAGCTCCCAAAGTTCCTGCTCTCAGTCCCTACACACTGCGGCTGTTGACCAGACAAATGCGGTATAAACACTGTAAGCAAAGCTGATAGCTACTTCCACTCATTTCCGGCAGAATTAGCTTGAGAATCTGTCGGCCTAGAATGACTGCCATATTTTAGAAAAACCAGAAGGTCGGATGTGGTTATGTGCCCCCACCGGAAGTAAACAAACCCCAGCCACCTGTAATACGGGATCGGTGGTAATAGGGGTTTTTATAGGTGGGGCGGGGAACGCACAGGCGACGAGGCCAAGTAGTTGTATGCAAAAGAAAAGCTATTGGGAATGCGCGGCTGTACTTTGAATGGCTGATAAATAGTTACTCTAACCCCTAATCCCCAACTCTAACTCCAAACACAACCCCTAGCCCTAACCCCAACACTGTTGTGTTCATCAGGTGGGGTTACATAACCACATCTTACCAACCAGAGAGTCAGCAGACCAGTGAGGAGGCCAGCTCTAATTACTTACGAACTGGCTCCATGTAAGGTGGGACATTACTGTATTAAACGAAGCTCGATTGTGGAGACAAGATTATATGGAAGAAGTCGGAACAAGGTGTGTTTTCGTCCGGAGTGACGAGGTGGTGGAATCGTCTTCTTCGTCAGAAAGATATCTTTTATAAGGCGACTTCACCAGTTCGGAATCAACGACTGACGAAGCACGACAAGAAGTCTACCGCCTAACGGGAAATAATGTGCTATCCTTAATTGCGTCTATGCCTCGCAAATGAAAAACCGAGATCGTCCGAGGGACAAATTTTGCAAAAATCTACACTCCTGTTATGTTACAACAGTTGATTGGAACGGGGGCATCATCGAACAGAAACACATATTTCCCAGGACGGGTGAGTGTAGATGACTCCTTGCGACCCTACCAACTACCACTGTAAGATTCTACACTTAGCGGAAGATTTGGCTCACCGCTCTGGCATTCGGCCTACCGAAATCAGAACCCGAGACCTACGGCTCAGACAGATCAGGAACATGGGGCTCACCGTGTGCAGTTGGACTTACATTGATCATTATCTACATAAATGTTCCCCTCAGCATTTGGAGAGGAACTTTCGACCTCACAAGTAGAGACGACATCTTAGGCAGGCCGGTTAGGGAGGGCGTAACAGTTAACGGTAAATGCACATTAACCGCCACCAGCGAGCCAAGTCGCAGTTAAGAGTATCAGGACCAAATCACCCACAGGTGCATTATTTTTCAGCGTGGTCGTAGTGCTTTCCCATCAAACAGGCCAAACGTAGTAGGTACATGTACTTGCGCTGATATGGCCGGGACATACGCGAGCATATGTCACTCCCAGTGATGAGGAATTCGTAGGCTACGTGGCCGATGTATGAATGTCTGTGTTCGGCTGGCAGCATTAATGCGTTTAGTAAAGCACCCGCTCGAAACGGTGATAACGCGAGTCATGTCGAGGACGGCGCCTACAGCAGTTACACTCCAATTCGTTTATGCTGTCCAAATCTCGATCGATTAAAGTTCGTTTCCAATGGACCACGGATTCCACTCGACGGTAATCAGTAGTCATACATAGGGGGTGGAAGAACCTTAATTCAATAAAGTCTGATGCAGACTATTGGCCAACGGGTATTTTTAGGAGTGAGTCGCCCTCCACCCCACTCACATCTGGTAGTCTCGACTTTGCCCTGTCAACGGAATTTGGTTGGTACGGGAAGAGAGATAAATGCAGCGCAAGTCACCATTGCTCTCTGTTCGGGACAGTGACGGTCCCCATTGCTTAAGATGGATGGATTGTCATTAGGTATGAGGACACACCCATTCCTGATTGAATAAATACACGATCTTCAGAGACTGGGAGTGACAGATGGTGAGGCACCGATGAATTTCGGTTCAGCGAAGAGCTTGTGACTCATCTGGGCCGTGTTCACGCGCATGCTTGTGTTTTCGGTTTCAGCTGGTGGTCGGGGTTGTTATTGACTGAATAAGGGCAGAATGAACCCGAAACAGTACTATATCATTCCTCTCGCATTCTCCGTCGTCCATCCCCTCCGCTGGTATAACTTGGCTGACTTCGGCCTAGTAGTTGGTTGCCTGCTCATGACCTTTACTACCCACGCGGAGCTTCTTCGTATAGAGAAACCAATAGAACGGGATGCACCCATTTCTGATTATTTGAATAATCATATATAGCGGTAGGGGGCGCTCACCGATCGTTCTTACAGAACTGCCTCGTTCTGTTGTGCCTTACGGACTCTCTCTCTCGAGCCCAACCAGCAGCCGCACAGTGGCGCACAATATAGGCAGTATGGTATTGCCAACAAAAACAAGGGAGACTGGAATGGCTATTTCTGGTTTATTAGCCGTCGTCAGCCAGTCATACCCAACCCCGAAGTGTGGAACACCCGAGGCTCGATCTCGCGACCTGTTAGTTTGAAGTCCACGCCTCTAATTACTGGGTCACGAGCCCGTTGCCCTGTCGGTGTAAGGAAGACCCCATTCATTGGGACCCACGTATTTATTAAGCGCACGACAGCTGACTAGTGCTGCACAACATTGCGTTTTTGGGGATGAACGCAGCTGGCTGGGAGCCACCAGTCCCGCGGGATCCGAGTGTTGCAAGATGGCTCGTCGGCATGAACACACGCCTCACTTAACGCGATGGAAACAGAGCCAGCGGTGGGCAAGCAACCCAGGCTGTTTGCCCTTGCTTCTGAGACAGGAAGTTCGGTCAGGTTGGAAAGTTGTCGGGACGGCAAATGTCGAGGAGTTAGTGTTGGGCACAAATGGTGCATTAGAATGGGTAACTAATGAGAGATCGCACCCAAGGCACTTGCGCATCGAAGCACGTCCTCGGAGTGTCTAGCCGAATGACTCGAGTGGAACTCTAGACGGGCAAACGAAAGTACCCATCAGTTCGAAGAATTAACTAAATGATGTAAAGTGCATGGGGCAAAGTGAGCCCCAGGTGGTCTTGCAGCATTAGAAGTTGGTTTGCACGCCAGAGCTAAGGCGCTGAAATCCAAGATCGAGGAGGTTAAATCTTCGTGAATTAGAGGTGAACTATTGCGAGATCCACAGGGCTCGTTTTCTTGTGAGTTTTGATCCTCTGATCGACTAGTTGCAAGCTCGATCGCACGATATGCCTTCATGCTCTCAATCATAAGCGCCTGCAATTCATAAGCGTACAAAAATCTCGGTCTTCGGTTCAAACCCTGGGTGATCACTTCGGGAAATCTTGACCAGCTACCATGGACTGAGCTGACCAAGGCTACCCATCCCCATCTTATCTTTTCCATTCGCACAGCAGGGATTCGGTGCTTTTGTAGCCGAACTGTTTTGCGTCCGCCCACACGGAGTACATGCGTGCCCAGCAGCCCTAAAGGCATTTTTGCCGCACAAGTGACAGAATTCCCCGAGGATGTACCATAAAATTCACCAACTCAAACAGGCATGTGTTTCAACTCCAGAATCTTGCAAGTATTCCACTCCAGACGACGATTTCCTCGAAGAATCAATCTTATTCAGACTTCAGATGAATGCCAGTAAAGCCCGTATGGATGATGAGCGGATATGAACATGCATTCGGCCTATTAAACACTCCTAGAGGTTTGCAGCTCAAGAGGAAAATGCTCTCAACCATAGCCACCAATAAAATTCGTATATTTGCCGATGTCGGCAACGCGCCGGCTTCCCTCCGAGGCTTAGACTTGAAAATCGGCATCCCACGACGCATGAAATAACCCGAAGTTGAGTTCTAGGCATATCGCCATTGCAAACCTAGTTTAGGAAGGAACAGCGGGGTTGGCTTAAATCGGAACAATGTGGTCCCGCAACTGACAAACCCGAGCAGGTAATGTACTCGTAAAAAGCGCACGCTACCGGGAGGGGCAATGCGCGCAGAAAACAAGAGGTGAGACTGTTCAGTAGAACAAAAGGTGTATTTGTTAATAATACCGATAACCTGGCAGAAGGCTTAAGTTGGAGGACGCAAAGGCGGCGGAGGCTTCTAGAGGAAGAGGTCAACAAAAACGGAGTCTTACCTTTGCAAACGTTACTCTGCGTAGGTACAGCCTCTTCCGGCCCCTCCTCGTCTGAGCTGCTCTCCGATTCGTCACTCACAGCCTTTGAATTCTTGGGACTGCCTAAAACATTCAGCCGCCACGCGTTTAGTTCGGAGACAAGAAAGCAAGGCAAGGTAGGAGTTAAGGTCAGTGGGAGAATCTAGACAACGCGGGGGACGAAAGCTGTCCAGCACGGTGAAACAGGCGAGGATCAGAGATGAAGGGTCAGAGGGAAGTGGGCACCGGGACAGCAGTCCATTTAGTCAGGAATGCCACAGGCCAAGATCAACGACCGTTCGTGAGCCCCATCCCACAAGAGAACGCAGCGAGACGGCTCGGAGAGGTGGATCTACCACCAATGTACGGCAGGCAGCGGGATCGCCAATCTACACGACAGGGATGATTGGACGCGGGAGCCGGAAGTTATACACAAAATAAACCAGTAGCTGGATTTGCTAATCGAAACGTCACTTCCACCGACCAAAGTCGTTGCGTCTGACAAATCCCAGTGCACTAGAGGAACCCGGTGCAAAGCGAAGAGAACCGCCGAGTCCCGTGGGAGACAAAATGCCTCCAAACATGGGACTTCAACGTGTCAAAACTTTCTGTCGTCGCCATCCAACTCACCGTCAACGGACTACTATCAGTGCTCGGCGGCATGCGCTTGTGTTGTCTTCCGCGACGACTGACTGCGTAACTCATCAACCCGCCATATAACGACCATTTGCAAGTTATTTCTCGGCAAGTGAAGAATCCCCGTATTCAGCGCGGTGACAGGTAAGCGCATTCCTATGCGACTGTGAATGTCTCCGCCCCTGCTCACACACATCGATCAGTAGGCTGCTTAACATCCTGTCTAGCCACAGCCACTGGCTTGCGCTGATCAGAAATGGACGTCGGGATTGAGGAAAGTGCATGAAGATCCCACAAGTTTGCCTATAATACCTGGCCAGGTCGCGGTTGATCCGTGACGCGAGCGATGACTACACGTAGAGGACGGGAAGCAGGATCTGTGGGCTCACTTATGCCGCTGGAATCTCATTTGATTCTGGTTGAGCGCAGTCATGCGCATCTGACGCAGTGGTGGCAGCTCCATGTGGAAGTCAATGAGTGAACACTTTTATGCAAGGAAGGTGGACTGACTCCTTCGACATTAGTAGTATTGACCATAAATAAGCCTTAGATTCTTCCCGTCACGAGGTTCTAGGTCACTGAATCTGAGGCCCAAACTGGTTACATCAACATCCGAAACCGACAGATTGTACCGATCGGCCAATTGGGGCAGCCTTTGCATTGTGACAGTTCGACCGTCGTGCCCGACGATGTCCACCGTGTGCTCCGCAGCAAAGTTGGGGCGTAAAATATTTTATTGTGGGAGTGGATTTGCGCAACGCATGTCGCACTCTCTCCTGCTCCCCACCTGAACCCCGTGTCAAGACAGAATCAAAAAGACCGGAGGCGGGAGAGGACGGAGGTGGCCAACACGGCCGGACCCGTACTTAGGCGTACCACCACACCCCCTGGTCCCCAACAAACATTTGACCAGAATTTTAACACACAAGAGCAGCACCGCAACAACACCCCAACAAGGGTCAGAGGGACGTGCATGATGACTGGGGGGGGGGGGGGGGGGGGGGGCAAGCGCATCTACCGGCAGGAGACCAGGTGCCGGAGAACTGCCAGCGCACATCAGGCTGCGAGGGTCATGGTTTGCTGAATAATGGCATAGGAGACGCATGCAATCCATAAGGACTGGAAGGATGAGACGCAGCCCTGCATTTAGCCTTGGTCATCATCCTTCAACCGGTCAGTCTTCGACCGCGGGGTACTACCGACATACACGCACACACAATCCTCACATGCGTGAGTGTGTCAGAGGTCATTTGGAGGAGCCGCGACAGCTTTGCCCTCAGCCCATCAGTCCGCCACTCCACACAAGCAAACACAATTGGGCAGTCGGCAGCCTTCCTAGCCACGACTGCATTACGAACAGTAAAACAAACATAAAGACCCAATGCATTATTGATTCGTTTGTTTGTGACGTCGGGATTCGGCTCTAATTTCCCTCTTCACCAGTCAGTCACTTCCGTCTCAGTAGAGGCGGCATTGCGTTACAATAAAGGGTAAGCATACTTCCTACGCCATTGGGACATTTGTCAGCAAGATGGGCAAAGACAAATGCACAAACTATGTGGGCAAAATGATAAGAGGGACAGTAAGTGGAAGAAGCTGTACATGACGAGTGAGGAACATTCTAAATTGGGCATTCTCATGCCGTTACAAGCAAGACCTTAATAGACCGCCAATCCGGGACGGGTGCAAACCTCCAAATCGTTTCGCAGGGACGCGCAAACATGGTTCCTCGCTGAGCGCACACGTGATCTGGAATATATGCTCACTCAGACTGGCGCGGTATACCTAGCCACAGCCTGCATGCTATGGTGCGTGATAGAGATTGACAGTGACAGCCCTGTACGCGCTCCGTGACACTAACATGGTTGGTTTTTCTGGACAGAACTCGCTATTGTGTCTGAGCCTGCCCGCATTCACCGGCCAACGGCGGTAAATAAGTGAGAAGAACCATTGTTCTGTCCGCATCATCTTCGTCAACAACACCCCTCGGCGGCAATGATAGATCACCGTCTGCAGACTGCGTCGGAGGAAGGGAACTCAGCCGATAGTAGGCAACTTAGAACGCTGGCGTTTAGGTCCACCTTTATTCGCCCCGATATTCAGTCAACAATGAAGTAGAAGATGACACGGGCCGGTGCGATGGACACCCTGCCCCAGATGCGAAGAACCTAAAACGCACCGAAGATGACCTACAGTTGTCAGTCAGATATCGAGTCTGCACCAAGGTATCGCAACTGTTAGGCGCCGTCAGGATCACCTCACGAAAAGAGGCGCCATTTCGCAGAGACATGCAAGCAAGTCAAGCATTGATACAAGGTTGGCTTAGGTCGATAATAAGGAGTCCCGCACCCGAGTAGTCCGACCAAGTGACGCTTGTGTAGAGAGTACACAGTGCTGGGATGAGAAGGATGCGGGAAAATAGAGGGGTGGGAGTGTTCAGTCAAAAAGCTGTATTCCATAATAGTACCCATATCTTGTCAGAAGGTTCAAGTTGGAGGACGCAAAGGCGACAGAATAGTTGGAAAGGATGTGACAACAAACGTTAATTCTTACCTTGGCGGGCCTCAGACAGCACGGGTGCGACTTCTGTTGGCCCCTCCTCGTCAGAGCCAGATCCATCGCTAATGTCCCTTGACCTCTCAGGACTGCCTAAAACATTCAGTCGTCATGCGTTTAGTTCGAAGAGAAGAAAATAGAGCAGGACAGAAGATTAAGTCATTTGGGGAATTTAGGAGGCACCTGGACTGCCCAGCACAGTGAAACAGGGGTGGGCGGCCAAACATAGTGCATAGCAGTTTGCTTTGTCCTGTCCAATGCGCCCCTCGGCCAGTAATGCCACAGATCAAGACTTACGCCCGTTCGAGACGTAGCCAGATTGCTCGGAATAGTTAATTGGATTAAGACGGGTCCATTTTAGGGGTGGATCAGCCACCCGATTCGCAATGTCTAATGCGCATCAGCCATCGACACAGCCAATCCACGTGACGGGCGCGGTGGGCGTCACTTGTGCGCCTTGAACCGGTGTCACCCAGGATTGCGCTTGTACGACTTCGTGGAGGTGTCTGCAACGTTACAGCTGTTGCAGTGTACGCCCCAGATCGGGGTGCTGATGATAGAGAGGAAGCAAACTTACAGGCTGTCGCCAGGCGTGTTTCCGTTCGACCTGATTGTCGCCGTGACCGGTAGGAATGCCATGACGGGTGCAGTGGGAAGCCGTCGCTTGTCAATTTTGGTGGTAAATCGCCTGATCGTTACAAGTACATGTTTCCAACACCCTTGCAGATATCTTGTTGTCTGATACTCAAATGGTTGCCACACGAAAAGTCACATCGCCTGAATACTTGTCTAAGGGCGCTGGGACAGTCCAGTAATCAATTCCTACACAATTCGAGGTGCGGACTACGGCACAGAATACGTTTTTTCGAAGACACGGCTTGCGACTGATATGGCTTCTGTCTGTCCCCCGCCGCTTTGTCCCCCTGAACCAAATAGACCTGCTGAGAGTTGTAGTGAGGGTTGAGTCTCTTGTGAAACTACGTGATTAATAACGAAAGGACTGCTTCGTACAGGTTCAGACTTGAAGTGCCTGCTATGCGAGATCACAAGCTCTGAATGGCACGACCACTAGGAATTATAGAGTAAAATTGTCCTAGATATCGACACCACCCCAGTGGATCGGGACACGAGGAGGCTGTACCGGATCCTGGATACAGACCGTTTCCACAATTTGTCCGCATCAAGGACCAGAGACAGCCAAGGTGTGGCGATGGAGTCCGTGTCAGGCACGGCACCTATGAAAGGAGGATTTCACGACCGAATTTCACCGAAATTACTTTCTTTAATTTCTGTCTACGATCAGTGGACAAAGACCTCCGGCGCCCGTCAGCGCTGCGTTCGCTCGCCAACTCCGTTCCGCTAATCAACAGATTAAGTTCTTCAACACACACTGGCAGACCACCTCGGTGGTCATGGTCGGTTCGAGACGTAACGGTGTTGGCCGGCTCTTTGGTAGAACAGCAGTCCGCGGTGTTCCAATTAGGTTCACGGACAGCTGACGCTGGCATTAAAATAAACTCTCTCATGGCGAAGACAACCGCCTTTGGTTTTACGGTCTTCTAGCCGATGCCACACTTTCATGACAGACTTCGACAGTCGGGCAGCTCACTAATCCAATTCATCCATGGTGGGGGGAGCATCTGCTCCATTGTGACGGCCAAGTCTTTTTGTCCGAACAAACACAGTTTCCGCTGTACCCCCTACCGGATTTAAGCGCATCGCAAGCATTACTTTTTGGCTAACCTGTTTTCTTAAGTACCACGACAAGGAAATGTGAAAATCAAGACCCGATTTATTTACGTAAGCGGTTCAACTATGTCGTTTGTTTGTGCGCATCTTCATTTAAACTGAAAATTTTAACTGTGTTTCACTGTAGTAGGATGATTGGGGAGCTATATCCACTGGAAAACTGAACTAGATCACAACAAAAGGGCGCGTCCACTCCCTAGCTCTGAGGTATGTTTCGATGTAAACCCCCTAAAAAGGCTTTCAAGACTGTGCTACTTTAGAGAACTGTCAACTTACCAACGCCAGGGTTGGGCTCTGTCTCCTCCTCGGAATGGGAACCAAGTGAGAAGCAGACAGGAGCATCTGCAAGCGCACTAGGCGAGAGTTCTCGTCGTTTAGGCACCCGGTCGGAGTCCAAAGTACTTCCCTCAGCCTTCCGTCGCCTCTTCATTGCAAAGTAGTCCTTCAGGTCTAGTGCGCTGGAGTAGGTCTTAATGCCGAAATCCTGGTGGACGGTGCCGGGATCCTGCACTGTACCGGTGGTGGGAACAGCCATATCATCTACCGACTGCCTAGGCGTATCAGGAGCACTGAGCGGTGCGCCAAGAACTACCTTTAGGGACTCCTTGGAGTACTGAGAGACGTCTTTGGCGCGAACAAATTTGCCATAGTGCACCCGGGATCGACTGTTTTTCGACTTATCCTCCAGACTCGTCTTCGTGCTGGAAGCCTGCGGTTTGTGCTTACTCAGCGACTTGAGAATCTCGGAGAAGGCCAGTTGTTGTACCATACCGGTGTCGGACTCCATCGCACCCTTGCCGAGACCCTTTCTGCCATAATTGCAAGAGGACTAAGGAAAGAGGCAAGAAGCAGGGAAGACGGAGGTCGTTCACCATGCTACCAATGAGAACAGTGTCTGACAGTAAGTCAATGGTGGGAAACGTCTTCCTAAAAGTATTAAACTGAGCAACCTTCTGTGTAGGGTAGCATTCGCGGGTGAACTCAAACAGTCAATGGAGGTAGAAAGGAAGGAATGCAAGAACAACACGGGCAACTTGCTTGGGATCTACGAAATCTCAAACGAACAGATCATCCGGTATCAGTGTGCTTTAATGGAACTACATGAGGCTTTATTCATGCGCACACGCTGCAAGATCATGCCAGCCTTCCTGTAGGTGCGCGAAGGCTTCGCGATAGTTGAGGTTGAGTGGGTAACTGCGTGCGCCAACGGCCAGCTTTGCGGCCATTGCTGATTGGTCCTTTCACCAATATGGTTCACAAGGATCACGCGGAAGGTGCTTGAGCTGACGGTTGGTCAACCGGAGACCAGAAGCGATCTCAACACCCGAATTACACACAGTAGACGACCTAACCCATGAAATAGCTTGATCAGCATTTGCGTGGGGAATGTCGCATATATCTAGGGTGTCTACTTTCGTCTAATGAGTCGCAGAAAGCCCTTTTCTTAAGAATTCATCTCAAATGTGTTTTAGGAATGAAAAACAGGTCAAGATTAGGCGAAATCGGATTGAAATCGAGATGTCTAGGTAATTTTTTACGTTTTTTTACAGTAAAACATGCTAGGGCTTCTTGTTTTTGCGTATTGTGCTATAAAGAAACACTAATACGGGCAAGAAAATTTTTCAGTAAATTCCTTCTAGAAACGGAGTTAAGGACTTTACGTCCATGAAAATCTGGCGGATTCAGGCACGCGAGATCGAATTGTCTTCAAGAAACCGATAGCGGAGTAAGCTTCGAAAAGTATTTTGCAAACCTGTGCCTTCAATGTCATAAAATGCAGTAATGAACTTGTTTGATTGTAGTTTGTTTCAACACACCGAGAGTTAGTAGGCGTAAACATCCGCAACATGCTTTCACTTCTCTGTCACGCCGTGCGATAAAGATATCGGAGCAATTCATGTCGGGGGTTTCTTATGAGCGCATATGAAAACAGGCAGTTAAAGGGCTACCGTGTGAGCCGCCAGCCAGTATTCTTAAAATTAACTATGTTACTCTGTGAAGACCTATTAATAACGGAACACTGGCTGGAATTAGGCAAGGTAGCCCAAAACAGTCCACAAGCAAATAAGACGACGGTTCCATACGTTGGACACTAAAAGTACCCTTATATTCCCCTTTAAAACTATTTACGGGGGACATCTGTCAATGTTTCCCTTGTGTGTAATTAGAAGACGGATGCAAGTATTCGGCCTATGACAGCAAAACACCACGACGAAGCCATTGTTATGTAGGAAACTTTATGTAAACCGTTTGCTTTTTGCTCAAGAATATATTGACAATAGTCCTTCCTTCATTCCGAAAGAGCATTTATTTTTGTGATGAGGTCGTGTTCTTAGACAAGCCTTCGAAGTCGGCCCAGGTGATCATGTATGGAAGAACTTCATGCGAGAACACACTGTATCGACAAACAATTTCAACCGTCGGCGCCCGATGACTTGACTGGCCATTAAATTCGAACAACGACCAGTCTGACAGTCGAAAACGGAGACCAGCAATAACAAGGTGTTCAACAACGCGCGAAAGAAACGCTGTAACGTTACAGGATAATGTCACTGTTCACCGCTTAGAGGGATTATGATTCTAATTTAGCTTACGACTACAATCTAATTATAAGACCACAACCGGCTTTTCCGCCTTCGGCCTGTGAAGCATACTTTTTTCCCGCCAACAGTCCTGACCTCAATTCTATCGAAAATCTCTTTGCGTTGCTCAAAAGAAACTAGGACAAAGCAGGAGAACAAGTTTAATGCAGCAAAAATTGGATTTTGCGCTTAACAATTGCATAGACTAACACGCTGTATATAACTTAGTAGTCTCTATGTCCTCCGACTTACAGCAGTTTTAAAAGCAAAAGGACAGTCAAGGAAGTACTAGCACATTGTATTTGTCATTGTTTTTCATTACTTTGTCATTTCATCCCCCTTCTCATCTCTTTTTTCAACTAAACTAGGCCTTTGATAGTTGACCAAGCATAAAGCAGTTTTTATTTGATGATTTCCGAAGAGGAAATTATTTCCAGCTAGTAAGTAATGCTTTATAAACCAAACTATGCCTTCTTCTAAAGATCGGTCGTTTATTTAATTGAGTGAACCTTTCGGGGATGAGGAGTTAGCAGTTCGTGCGCCACACGGGTTTTAGTGCGAAGTTCGTGACTTTGTTTTTGATCGATCACGCACAGTAGAGCTCCTTGATAAGTTCAATGATACAGTTCAATAGGATTAGCGATATGAGTGCGTTCATTTGTCTGACCCATGTGAATAGGGCAAGCTGAACACCATAGTGACGCTGTTGGATTATTTCACCTAGCGACTCGTTCAGAAAAACAAACTCGAGTATAAAGGTCAGAGAAGACCACCTGACGAGCAATTGGTTTTTAACGAAACAGTTAGCAGAAAATAACGCAATGGAAGAATTTAAAGCTGCAATTAGAAGAAGAGATAACACTTGAGGCCAACATATGGGCTGGAACTACCCCTTCCAGCTAAGTGAGTATGAGAAATTAGGATAAAATTCAAAAAGTGCTCAAACGACAGACCTTAATAGGATCTACTATACCAGTTCCATCCTTGCCGAGCCCCGTAGCTGGAGTCCAGCCCATTTTCTTTAATAGTTGCTGTCCTATGTTGCTGTCATCGGTTGCGATTGAAGTGCCGGCAGTGGTGAGGATGTACGACGAACGCTTCTTTGGATTTATAAATGCCATAACTGTGGTAAGGGACCTAAGGGTGGGGAGGAGAGAGGGAGTGAATTGGGGCTCGATCGGGAAAACACGGAATCGGTGATAAAAAATATCTAACTAGAAATAGTGGGCGCACCTCTTTTTTGGCGATGGCGAGTATAGAGAGGACGATGTATCTGAATCTATAGGAATCCTTTTATCACAAATAAAGAACAATTTATAGGGTGAATAAATTGGTCGCTGTCTAACCAGAAAACTGTAACGCACTGCGCAAAATTTACAACTCTGAATCAATCAATCGTCCTTAGTCCACAGAACCCAGTGCTTAAAAACCATACAAGATGTAGACACTACGAGCCAGGGAAATGAACGTCGGGGGCGATGGTAAATTGTGCCGAAAGTTCTAGTTTACATGGTACCGTAACACATGGTGCCGTGAAGTAGTTCATTCAGTGACCTCCGATCCATGATAAGGTCCTTACAATTGGTTATGACGTTGACACTTCAACCCCGAACACCGTGCCTAATATCTTTCCCAGGGAGGCCATTTAGCTATGTTCCTAAATAATGCCACAGTTGGAAACTTTGACACACGTCTCGTCAATTTTCTGTTGCCGTATGACGCAACAACGAGAAGTACAGCCTGTACTGGGATTCTCTGCACTATCTGCGGGGCTTTTTGATAAACAGTTTAAACTTGTAGTTTTAAGTTCATAATTTCACGGTAAATCAACATGAGGACCTGCTCACAGTTGGGTAATGAAACGGAACCCGACAGCACGAATGACTGGTGTTTACTTGGAAACTGGTTTCAATGTGGTGGAACAGTTTCCTTGCCCCTTAACAACTCTCTCCGCATCGTTTATTTAGGCAGGTAATTGCATTGTGTTATCACTACGCAAAAAATTGACTGTACAGTCATATGCCGCCAAAAATGCAGGACAACTCGAAGGACACATATTATAACAGTGCAAAATGAAATGGCAAATTACAAACCTAAAGAAAAGCAAAAGACAGAACACGCCCAGCAAATTAGGATGTCAACCGAAAAACCAGGCGTATAGTGTGAACAGCATCCAAACCAACCAACAGCCGCCGTACAAGGTTTTTCAAGGTGGCTTCGGACACCAAGGACAAAATACCGAATTTAAGAATTCCACCTTAAACTCGGATCGCCAGCAGTAACAGAAGTCATTTTTTAAGGATATACAAGCCAATCGAATCCATTACTAGTTATGGGCCCGTGGAAGGCAAAAAGAAGGAGTCGGGTATCAATAGACAGAAAACAGTCTATGATTTTAATCACTGGCCTATCTGAGAAAGCCATTCACGATTCTACATTGCGAAACGCTGAAAACGTTTATTAACTATGACTGCCTTGGTTGCGACAGCACATATACTCTGTTTATGGGCCATTTTTGTGAAATTCGCATACAGATCACTTGTGACGACTTGGTCAATAATGCTGACATATCTGAGCAGAGTGGAAATATAGTAATTGCTGTATTTTTGCCCTTCCGATCGGATAACTATTTTCCTTAAATGGATCCATAGGAGAAGTATGAACTTCTGCCAAAACTTGATAGGCAAAACTGTTGTGATTCAAACCAGGAACTGAGAAAGATTTTCGACCCAAACTAATAAAAGTGAGCCGCCGACAAAAAATGAGTGTTTTGTGCGTACATCACATTTACCAGAGATCAAGCCGACCTATAAGCTATTGAAAACCAATGAGTTCACAGAAACAGATGAAGAAACTCGACGAAGGACATAAAAGGTTAGTTTGAAATTAAAAAAAAACAGAACGGAAACACTGCAACGGCAAACAAAGAAAGCCACATATTTTGCACTTTGTTGAACCTCATGACTCAAGCTTTGCAATAATAACGGGCAGCCGAGGTATGCAAACTGGTAGCTGTCATCCATGGTTTTGTCATTAATAATTTGCCGCAGAGTGACCTCACTAACACTGAAAATGTGTGTAAGCATATCAGTCGGCATTCCTTTAACCGCTAATTTGCGTATCCGTTCGTAGTCGAATGCTGAAAAAAACTGTTTCGACATCCTCAACGCTTGGCGCAACACAAAGAACCGACAGTATGTCTTGAGTACTCAATATATGACTGTTTGCGCCTACTAATCCTGGGCATGGCGAAACGAACTACTGTCAAGCATGTGTAATACTAAGTCTTATTGCACAAAAAGCTACAAATTCGCCAAACAAAATTTTCCTCAAAAAGAATCTGCTGCTCTTTTCTCGAAAACGACGCAAATCCACAAATCCATCATGACCTGATTTTAATGAGTAACAAGCGTCTGAGAAATTATATATCGTGGAGCGTATGACAGGTAGGTTCTCAGCCCCTTATCTCAATTCGCGAGGCTTAACTACAGAATTCCTAAAATGGATAACAATGATGACTTCGATCATCAACAGCCCTCCCTGCAAGAGACGATGAGACAATGCAGCAGATGTATAGTGGAGAGGCAACAGACGCTAACTTTTCCCCGAATGAAGTTTAAAATAGTGTGGCGCTGAAACTGAAGCAAGCAGACCCGTTGGCTCAGGAGAGGTGCATGGAAGGGCGAATTGACAAGACCACGAGGACGCTATTATTTTCTACCGCAAAAGGGAAACTGAGGTTAAAATGCCTGCACCAATCACCGGAGCATCTGTCTAATTAGTATTGCACAGTGGCTTTTTTCCTTAGTCTGCTCAATTACTTGATCCCAGATTTAGAGCATTTTATCTCGCGACGCTGTGAAGGTTCCAGGCACGTCATGGAACAACCAGGATTATCTTTGGGGCGCGCCAACTGCCAGATAATGTGGGGAAACTAGGACCACTCGCAACACCACGCTTGTTGCTGACACGAAACGTTTAGACAGCCTGCAATGCGTGGGACTCTGGAAAATAGCGATGTGGCTAAGATGACCTAGATGATTTGTGCTGACGGTCAAACAGCTTCACAAGAGCATGATGGCGTCAGCCGAAGTAGATAAGTTTCGACGACTACAAAGTTTGGAATGTCACAAATCAACTATAAGACACAAAATGAGCGTGCATAAGAATACATCCAGATATCAAAACAAAAATATGCCTTGGTAACTGCTACGTCGAGGGAAGTCAGGTTGGAACATGCCTTCAATAAGAGCACGGCTATCGAGTAAACGAAAACTGTGTTTATGTCGCTTATTAAAGCCGCAGAGAATGCGGGACATTTCCGGATGGAACCGGTAACCAGGCCACATGCGACTCAGATATTTCTAGGAGGCAACTTGAAATATCTTTTATTCGGATTGCCATCAGATTTGCCCTTTCCCTGACTATTCCTTTTCAACATATTAAATTGTAACTATACGCGACGGAGAGTTTTCTTCAGAGATGTACTGGTGGTGGAAGATATACAGGAACGCACCAGGGAGAGTGAAGTGACACTTCCTCTTTCTTTATAAGTGTAGGGCAGGCATACGCCAGCACCCGGCTAGGTAGACACGAATCTACGAATTCAACGCGCTAGCAGGGTCTGTCGACTGTGATCGGAATTGTGCACAGGAAAAGGGGTCATTAACGCAATCGGACTTCATTTGCATGTTCGACCTTAGGATTAATAGGCACTTTTGCTACGATGAAAACGGCGGGATTGGCACGATGGCGAAGTGTACTGTCTTATCTTTAAGAACAATTGGGTTCATAAAAGGCAGTGGAAGGACAAAACAGCCCAAAATGAGGCTCCAATATTGCAGTCAAGTAGCACATTACAACAGGGGTTGCGGAGCCGAAAAAACAGCCAGCTATCCGGACAGACAGCTAAGATTCTGTATACAGATCGAGATGAAAACAAGAACCACTTCACAGCCATTAAAACACTCCCTGAGTGTTGAGCACGGACACAAGTGATTTCAACGTAAACGCACTACCACGATCTGTAGACCGTGCTCGAAAGTATGGCTAGTTACGCACAAATGATCACCATCCCGACGAGACTTTAGGGGAGAATACAACCATCCGCCCCATTTACAGTTCCTAATTTCGGGGAAGATTAGGCCGTCTCATTGCAACTACCAACCAGCAATTGAGAGTTTGGTTTGGATAGGAACTGCGTTTAATCCGGAGGTCTTAGACTAGCGGGTTTGAGGCCGGCTGCAATGCCACCACCGACTGGAGAGTTGGCTGGGTAGGCAGCAGCTGATATCATGGACAGGAAGAGTCGGACGCGACTGACGTCCCCAAGACTGGTATGAAGCACACCAAACAGGGACTCGGATGCGGACCATTAACAGCGACCGAGTTTTATAATTCGGTTGGCAACCATGCCTGTCTAGCCGTCTTTGGAGTTCATGACATAACTACCGGACGCTCATTTCATACGTCATTTAACACTCCGTCTTGGCTCATGACCCCTTTACAGATAATTACACCGGCATCCACCGACGCCTGGAGGTGTAAGGGCTAAACAGTTAACCAGCCAGAACAGTGAGACCATGCCTCCTTTCCAATCAACAGTGAACAAGGAACGCATATATGCCACACCCTTCCACTAATGAGTCGACAAAGTAACTCATCGACAGTGAGAAAAAAACAAACATCTCCGGGCAGGCATAGTGATGACCTTAAACTCAGATGAACAATGAGTAAGGAAATCGACTTTATAGGGGGTCAAAACACTTTTGGGGCTAGTGCGTGGTGCTAGTTCACAGTCCCGAAAAGGAGGTAGGAAAATGATCTACAGGAAGGGCTAAAAGATCCTTCGTTTTAATCGGCAATGCAAACAACGCCACAGAATGATAAAAGTGAGGGGAGTAGGACGGGGACGGTACAGATTACAAGGATGAGCGAGAAGAGTAGGTGCACGTGTTCACTCCGAAGACTTGCGCTTGCGTAAGAACTCAGAGGAAGCCTCTGGCGACTCCGAAGAGGAAGATTTATTTGCCTGGGGTTGGTCAGAGACAGGGCTAGTCCCAGTCGCGGCTCGAATTCGGGAGAGGAGAAAGCCTTGGGTGTTGTCGATAGCTCTTCTACC